AGATTAGGAGTAGACCCTGAAGACTGCTGGGGCTTTGAAGACTCGTAAGTATTCATAGTAAACAGTAATAAAAGTTGGTCAATATAGGCCTTTTGCAAAATGATGTTCAACCAGCAGTGAGAATTTTTGTATGAAAGCTTTTACAATGTTGTACTTCTGTTTTCTTTCCAGGGACATTGGTTTACAAGCAATACATGCTGCTGGGCTAGCAAGGTCATTTGATGTGAGAACATTCATTGGCTATCCTCGCATATCTTCTACAACATAGTCCATACGGGGATCTACAATAATAATACGTCAAGACAGCCTGTAAATTGGGCAATGATTCACGCTCAGCCACATACTCAGCAACATTCAAGAATATAATATTATTTCAAAGAAAAAGTGTATATAGAACATCAAGGAAAATAAACTGATCCACATCACATCACAAAGACAAGAAGTCCTTTAWCRCAGGTGATGSCTTCTAGTTTCAATCCTGTCATTTTGGTGCAACTGTCACATGATCAAAGCATACTAATGAATATCCTAGCCTGGAACATTGGCAAAAACTCARAACATCATTATCAAGAGGAAAATATCAACAGAATATAATATTTATTACAAAGAAAATGGCACCTTTAGAGTTGTTACACTTTATCCATGAAATACTTCAAAACTTAATGCATGTAAAACTTCAATTAACGCAAAGAAAACAGTCAAAATAAGGTCTACTAGCTAGTAGTCCACTTGCTATTTCACAGGTTTTATTTGTAAGTGAAAYAACTCTATTAGTTATGCCACCTTTTCAATGGTCTCTTGTTGTGCCGCCACAGGCAACAACAAGAAGAACAATTTATGAATGAAAATGAAACGGAAGAATGAAAATCATACTCTCAATAATAACAATATGAATGAGAGTCACAAAGTTTTATTTATTGTAAACAGCCCTCTTGTTTATAAAACAACTTTCACGCAGTGTTTAAGCACTGATATTGCTGTAGAACTTAACTTACATTTTGAATAGTTTTATATTTTAAAGAATTTTAATAAAATTATGAAATATAATTGTGCACTGAGTTAAGTTATTGTTTAAGCTAAAAAAAATAAGGCATTGTAAAGGACTAGAGATTAGTTAATATGTTTAAATTAATTACTGACTAAGCCCAAAGGTATATATTCTAATTACTGCAGACTTGAGAGGTCTCGGCCTACTGAATGCTCCTGGAATTACCAGGATTTTAACCTGGTATAACCATTTGACATAAACAGCAGAGTGAGATTAAAGTGGTCTGTTCAACCTTGTCATCTCTAAGAGCTGGGAAATACTCATACCTGACTATTCAAAATAGGTAAAATTTTTATCTAACTTCCTTGGCGTTACCTGGTTGTCAATGKCAATGCCTTTCATTCCCTGATGATTCTACCAGCTTCAGAAACCATTTAACATAATTTATGTCAGAAAACTAGAGTGATCGCACTTAATCCATGCAACTGTACAAACTAAATAGTGATGTTTAGGTGTATTTAGTAAATGGTGCATGCGATACGCAAATTAAATTGAAATTGATACAAATGAAGCATTCAATACCGTCTTGCTTCAGGTCCACTTTTAGTACAAATTAGAACTACTTAGATTTTGCCCAGTTGCACGGATTAAGTGCATTCACTCTACCTGTAATAACATTTTTAAATGTTTTGCTCAATCAGTTTACAGTGATTTGTCGTCATATACTTTATAAATCCCCAAGAATTTTAATTTACTAAGTGGATATTCAAATACAATGTCTTTTCACGCATCCACCATTAATTATTCCTTTCTCATGTTTCTTTTGCAGCAGTTACAGCCCTCAAACTTCATGTGGACGATCTTTTTCTTTCTCCTTCTTTGTCATACCAAGCTTCTCTTTCAAGGTGTCTTTGAAACTTTTGCTTTTCTTGACCTTCTTTCTCTTCTTGCCTTTTCCTTCTTCTGGTGAGAGTAGTTTGCTGTCATCAAATCTATCGGCAGATTTATCAAGGACCTCCTTGGTATCTTTATCCTTCACCTCTTCCACTGTGACTACTGTTGTTGTCACCTTAGAAAAACATGCAATAGAGTCAACTTGATTTTCGTTTTTCATATTCATGTGTCTATGAAAGCTGCTGATTGTTATTCATCAGCATTATTAACATACATGTAACACATGGAGTATCCAGATTGGTTAAAAGTTCATTTAAAAAAACAGCTGATTATTATTCATCAGTGATTTATATGSTAGAATTAAGCACATACATGCGACCATTTTGGGAAATTATATCCAGATTAGTTCACATACTTAATGAGTCTTTCAAAAATTGTATCAGCTAAACTTGTAAAAAATTTTCAGGCAAAACCATGCACCAACTGGCTAGAAATTCACTTACTGTTGTTTGTGCTGTGCTTGTTGATGGAGCTGACTCAGCAACAACCTCCTCTTTGACATTGATTGTTTCTTCAGTGATAGCCTACAATAAATTCATGAAGATAAAAATTAAAATGTTGGGAACCCTGTGCCAAGCAAWCAAGAATTTGTGGGATTCCTGTGTCTCAACACAGGGATCCCAAGATCAAACCATAAAATCATGACTTACCTTGAAAGGATCCTTGTCTTCTCGCTCGGGTTTCCTGTCTTTCACAATCACATCTTCAATGTTTGGTGAATCTAAGTTGGGTTCTTTCCTGTACTCTGTAGATTTTACTGGTTCATTRAGCCACTTCAATTTTGTTCTAAGCAAAAAATAGTGCAAAAAATGAATTTTAATTGAAATAATAAGTAACATTCTTGCTAGTTATTAATGATCCATTCATCTATTAATGACATAATCACAYGTATTGAATATAACCTTACCTGTTCATGCCACGCCCAGTAGTATGTGCTCGCCTCACCGGGTTACGGTCTCTATCTTGTGGATAATTGAAGGAGCTGGACTTTGTGGCTGGTGTTCTTGCCTTTGGTATCTTTGGGGGCTCAGGCTGTGGTTCTTTCTTTAAGACATCCACTGTATAGTCATATCCTGTCTTATGACCCTGAGAAAGGATTATAATAGAAGAGTTAGGGCAACAGACGAAGGATTAACGTCCGAAAAGTCAGTAAGTTATTTCATTTATTTTATTACGGTGTTAAATTTATCTTTTTCCACAACTGTTTCTTTAGAAACACCTACACAGCTCACACTAGTTTACTGCTAGTTCCCACCAATTATATGGGGGAACTGGGGCCAGCTCTTCCACTCTCTCTTGACCCCCACTTTTCAGAGGATGCAAACTCACCAAAACAAAACTAAGTAGTGGAGAAAGACTTTTATTAAGAAAGTAGAAATCGATATTCAAGTTCTTACCTTTGCATCCAGTCTGCGCATAAACGCCTCAAAGAGAACATTGCAGTTTTTCCTCTTGTTTTGGTTAGCATCATCTCCTTCATGTACAGACTCGTAAATCTTTTTTCTGCGCTCTTTATCAATATGTGTTAGATTCTCAATGCCAGCCCTCATTGCTTGAACCTACATGATTAAACATAATGAGAACTCAGTTTTCCACAAGAGTACTGCTACCGAAAATTACAAAACACCTCAACATAAATGAGAAACTTTATCCTATCTTTTTGGAATCATGATACATCATGACATCTCTCTCACCTGAAACTTGCAAGCCTGCACCAATAAATATGCAGCGTGGAAAGTCTCTTCTACTGACTTGCCCATACAAAGAGCACCWATGTTTCTTAAAAACAAGACCTACAGAAGAACAATTCATATTATATATTGACCCTTTACATCATGTCAATAAATTATTAACAGTTTCTATTTGTCACTTGTTTTTGTTTTCATTGTTTTACTAAGCGTCAAATGGATGTAATTTGTAAATACAAAAACAAAATTAGGTGCCAATATACATCATATAAAGGTGCTACAGTTTTCAATATAGGCTGCATTCTTCAAAGCCAATCTTGATGTCATGGTGACAAAAGTAAATACTTTTGAATATGAAGACATGCTTTTGAGATGGTCATGTGCTAGAGACAAAAGCATCAAATATTATTATTCTATGTGTCTTGAATTTTCTTTTTTTTTAATGAATTTTTGTTGCTTAACAGGTAATAAKTTAATATTTCACACAAAGTGAGAGAATTGTATCCTGTATTCCAAATGCTTTACCATATTATTTTTGACAACAATACTTTGCCTTAATAAAACAATTTCCAAAATGAGTGACATGTTGCCACAACCTGAGACAAGGGATACCTCTTGTAACTTTACTATCTACTTCCTTTCATATGAGACTTTGAAACAACAATTACCTTGTCGATTCCTTGGCATTTTCTACRAATATCTTCTTTGTCATCTTTACTAAAATCATAACCAGACAAAGTGTAGTAGGTCACTTCTCCAACCTTGAAAAGAAAGACAAAAACGTTTTTGCTTGTGAAGCTAGAATGACATTCTGTTTGAACAGCTGCATCTTTTTGCACATCCGTCTTAATATTTGCCTAAAACATGTTCTTACAGCAACATTGAGTGATATGTGCAGAAAAACAATGATGTACCAATCAAAAAAAAAACATTAAAAAATCAGTTGTATATTGTACATTCTAATAATAAAAATGTTTCTTTTAAAAGATATTTATCCAAGTGAAAAAGGATAGTTTTAAGCTTCTTARTGATACAAAATTGTAGTCCTGCTACAACTATTTCACACTTTGAAAAGATCCTTTTTACTTGAATGAATTTYAARTTCAAAAAAGGGTACTTACAGCCACTGCTTCRCTTGAAATAGGTAGCAATCCACATTCCATTGTACTAACCTGGGAAAATACAGGAAATTAAATCAATACAATTATAAATCATTACAAAAAACTTTCTATTGCTTGTTTCCAGTCAATCTCTTGTGATTCAAAAAAACAACAACAAAAGACTGGCGGCCATGTTGACGGTATGCATAATGGATGCTAATAAAACAACCTTCGGCAACAAACATGGCTGTAATTATATTAACTGAATGTAGAAATTCATAATTGAGTTTGTCTACTTACAGCTACAACCTCCAAGGCTGTGATGAATATAACACAGTTTGTCTCCTTTGAGGCTTCATAAAGCATGCAATGTGGTTCGTTGGCTTGTTTGTTGTAGAGAAAATTTGTGTTTCCTGGTTCAACTGTGTTTCCTTCTTGATCCATCTTGATGAGGGATGCAGCTGTAATTTCATGGCACAGCAATCCCCATGGTGACGTGAAGTAGTAGTAGTCATCCTCCACAGCTCTTGCCTGTAATAATCAATATACAAATTAATTAATCAGTTTATTAATTTATGCACATATTAATTTATGCATTAGTAAATAGACGACTTTAGATATTTTGGTTCAGTGACTATGCACAAAAGAATTGCGGACGAGGCTCCGGGGAAATAAAAGAATAAATCAAGATTATCCATTGTTTCCCCGGAGCCTCGTGTGCGTTCTTTTGTACATAGTCATCGAAGCAAAATATCTAAAGTCGGCTATTGCGATAAAGTATAATGAAGTAATTAACACAAGCAATCGCTATTATATAGTGAAAAGTCTAGGAAGTGCTTCTCTAGTTTAGGGTGACCTTCTCATGTTTTTAATTTCTTTGACTATCAAAACAAGAATACCAATATCAGGCGTTAACTGCACACTCCTCTTTTCCTAGCCCCTCCATTCCTACCTCCCCAAAGACATGATACTCAGGCTAGAGGTTAGTGCACGTGTGATATGCGTGTCTGGATAGTGGAGTTTTACAGAAATAGTATGATGACACTAAGTAAGAGTCTGTGAATTTGCTCCTCTCATTCATWCAACATATCAAATGTTTTTGCCCTTGTTCCAAGCTTAATAAATGTTTCCAATCAACGTGATTAAAATCATTGTTGTAAATATTATCTAWGGTGTTGTTAAATTTCTGTTTATTGTATTTTGTTCCATATCTTTGACTTTATTCAATTAATTTTGATAAGGATCACTTATGCATGTATTTTAATGCTTGAGCTCTGCAGAGCTAATGACATTTCAACTGCGTTGTCTGTAATCTATCAAATTCCATTAAAATTGGAAGGTTTGGACATAAAGAGCAATTCCATCGTTATGATTATTCTAAAACATAAATTTAGATGAAAAAATTATAAAAATAGCTGTCACAATTTGTAAAAAATATTGAAAAATGAGATGTTTTGTACTTTGTTAGTAAGTGCATTTTTTCATTTTCCCATTTCTTTAAAACCAWTCCCAGTAGGATGCCAGTTTGAGAGGGATATCGAGAGATCCATGCTACAAACAACACGTAGTTTTGAATCTCATTATGCCATGTGTCACAAGACAAACAAATATGTTTTTGCTTCCTTTTTCGACTTTGATTGCATGACTTTTGATTAAAACTTGACAAAAGATGTGAAATGAAACTGACAAAGAAATTAACATTCAATTTGTACATTTCAAGATTGAAATCGACRAAAGATATCTTTTTTAGACATGTGTTRATCAGACATAGTTGGAAAACCACTAGGCCAAAATGGAATCTACTAGACCACAACTTTGCGTGGTTGAAAGAAATTCAAAAAAGATAATCAATAACACATGAAAACAAACTTAGTCCCGATAAAAGCCTAAATATACCAGGGAGTTGAAAAAAAGTTCCATTTGTAAATTAGCTATTAAATATACCTTCCATAATACAACCTGGCACGCCTCTATGTAAGCAAACTCTTACCGTGCAAAATACTTGATCATCAGAACACGTCCAACCAAATTCTTGTGCCAGGCGATAAACTGCAGCTACTTTGCATCGCAGAAGACGTTCTTCTTTAGAAAGCTTGATWGTATCCATCCCTCTGATGTCTGCAACAGGGGTAATAACAGCGCCCGGTGCTGTATTATTCGCACCTAACCCCACGGTAGGCACCAAAAAATCTTGATARGTACGCACGCTTTGTAGATTAGTCGTTTTATTGGTAAAATCTACATTGCCGACGACTTCTTCGAGCTCTTCTCGAAGAATTTCATCTCCCAGTACTATTGATACTCTTTGGCGAAGTTTTAAACCGCGTACATCTCTTGTTATTCTTTCAGGGGTATATGGAGCGAAGCCCATCTCTCTCGACGGCGCACTCCATCGTTTAGCTTTGCTAACGATCGTTTTGTGAGGGCGACGCGTAACTTCTTCTAAAGACATGCTATAAAATCAAAGCGTGCAAGTGAATGAGTGAGCTGTAAACACAACTTAAGAACCCTTGTAAGATTGAAAATTAATCCCTTTGCTGTAACTAACACTCGACTTTGCAAAGAAAGAATGGTGTATTTCCTTGTTGAATCAACTTATTTCTAAAGATTACTTTGAKATTTCAAGTCCCAAATTGGAAAGTTACACAAGTGCACCAATAAATTAAGATCACGATCGAGCAACAAGACCGAGCGATGAAAGAAATTCGAGTCGTGATCGTCTGAGGTCGGCACGTACTGATATGAACAATCATTTGCAAAAGTTTACTGAACTTACCTTCAATTTAAGAGCTGTACAAAATACAGTCTTTGATGGATAAGTTATGAGATGATCAAGAGCAGCAGAAGGGCTGTGTTCATGCTACAGGAAAACCAACGAAGCACGAAAAGAGAGCAAAACTTGCAAATGAGTGGTCAGGAAATCGACATTCAATACACAGACAAAGACCGCCACTTGAACGATCCGTTGCGAGCCTGCCCCATGCAAATTAAGACGCTCATTTGCATCATAAAGCGCATTATGTATTTTCTGCTTTGCCATTGGAAGATTGTATGCTATTATATGCGTCAGTATTTGTTTTTTTTTTCAGCTGACTCCACCTCTCTGACACGTTCTGCCTCCATTTTGATTCTAAAACACAGGAGTCCCAACAATTTTAAGTCTGCCAGCCTAAATGAAGAAGTTTTGTTTTCGTGTAATTTATAGGTAAATGGCTTCAAGAGGAGAGACCAGATCCCTTCCTCAATAGATAATATTTCAACACGGACTAAATATGATGACTATGTGTCCATTGACAAATAATATTATTATAACCATTAAAACAAGAAATAAGGCATAATTATTCTTACATTTGCATTTAATTCAGACATGATTTTGTCTTTACAAGAACTGGATTACACTGAACTATTCAATTTATTAGGGTTTCGCCCACTTACATTCTTACTTTTCAGTATTATCACATTTAAGATCACTGTAGTTTTTGATGCTGGAAAGCATCATTGTTACATCTCTAAGAGAAAGAAGAATGTATTGTATGTAGAGATAGCCACGGGTAAATGAAATCAAATCTTGGTGCACAACYTATACTCTTCTCATCTTGGACACTCAAAACATACTTATGTTTKGGGCTCTAATTCCACTCCGACATTTTGCCATTCCACTAGCTATCCCTACATATCATTCAAGACATAAGTTAGTGTTAAAACAAAGCCACGTTTATGTGCTTTTCAGCTAAAAACTATAAGCTTTGGTCAATAGTTAAAATATTTGCAAACAATGTCATCAGGAATTTTTGTTTAGTTTGTGGATCTATGAAGAGATTCAAACAAAGTACACTTTGCTTGTGATGTTAGTAGAGCTTTTAGAACTCTCAAACTAAAATGACATCATAGACTCAATGAAAAATAACCTCTTTTTAAATCACAAGCAAAATGCAGTGATTTACTTTCTCTTATTTCTCTCTCTCTCTCTCTCTGTAAAACAAAATAGCAGACTACATTTTGAATACTTTAAATTAGGAGTTAACTGAAGCTAACTAAAATTTACATAGACACAGAGTTTTCCTAATCTGTGTTAAAACACTTCAGCTTCACAGTTAAACAATACTTTGATTGTTGGACAATCCCAGTCACTAAAACRCATTGCRCAAACAAGGTTGATACCACAAGCAACCAAGCTTTCTTGATGTAAGACCTTCTTTAGTATTGTAACATACAGTCACTTGACGGCAATAGAGCCAAAATCCAATGAAATACAATCTCAAGGAGATGAATTTGTATATATTGACGTGACTATGCAAGCTTGCAAATTTTATGAAACCATTAAAATATTTTGTCTTATAACTAAAAGCAACATGCCATGTTGCAGCTCTTGATGTTCAGTTCATGGTTCTTCCTTTAGAGTTGGAGAACATTTGGATWAATCTWAATGTATTCTGTCCATAAAGTTTATTCAACTTTCTTTCCTTCTTCAATCTCGTCATCTTTGCCACGTTTGCTGAATCGCTTTTTTAAAGCATCTTTAAAACTCTTCTTCTTCTTGACTTTTGACTTTGATGGGCTGTCAGGCTCAGGAGAATCTGATGGTCCACCTTCACCATCTTCATCTTTCTTTTCATCATCATGCTCATCCTCTTCCTTGTCTTCATTCTCATCTGGCTTATCAAGATGGTCAACATCATTCACCTCCTTACCATCTACTATCACTCGCTTGTTTTCAGTTACTTGAGTATCTTCCTTCACTTCACCATCCTTACCTACCACCCTTGTCACWACRACTGTAGTTTCTTTCACTTCTCTCTTGTGGGTGACTCCACCTTCTGGAGTTTCRGCATCAAACATGCCTTTTTCTTCGAGAGGTGATGACTCCACGATTACATTACTTGTGTGTGTGATGATATGGTCTTCGATCTAGTGTAAAGATTATARTCATGTTGAAATATTTGGATGGAAGAGAAATTCAATATCATTATAAATGTTTAAAAAAAAAACTTATATTTTATTCATTTATTCACTATCCCATTCATTCCTTTTTCCACTTAACTTGTTCATCAATCTGTCTCTTTATTCATTTTCCCACTAATTGAATCATTTCTGTACATTCATCTTCCCATTCGTTCAATCAATCAATCTATTTTACGCTTATATTTGAATACTCTACCTTATCATCTTTGAATTCTTTCTCTGGTTTCTGGTCCTTGATGGTGACTGGTTCRTTTATGTCTTCTAGAGCTCCTTCCTGATCTTTCTTATACTCTGTTGCCTTAACAGGAGTGTTAAGCCATTTAACACGATTACGATATGTGTTAGCACGGCCAGTTGAATGTGATCTGTTTGGCTGTTTGTCAGAGTCAGGTGTGAAGAAAAGTTGAGCACGTGTGGATGTTGTTGTTGCTGGTGAGGTCACATCTCTTGCCTTGGGCTTGTCCCCAACAAATACATCAGGATTTCTATACACATAACCTGTTCTGTATCCCTGGGGTTAGCACAAAAATATTAGYATAAAGAAGGTAGGTGACAAAAGTACAAATGCCAGGAAACTTACTCTAGAATCAAGCATCCGCATATATGCTTCAAACTGTAACTCGCCACGTTTGTTTGGCCTATCAGATGTGTTGTGTTGATCATTTTCCTGGACACTTTTATCTCTGTCTCTWATTTCTTCATCAATTTTGAGAAGATTATCGACCCCTGCTGCCATTGCTCTCACCTTTACAAGACAGAAAATATGCAGTGGTCATTGGCAATGAAACGAAAAAAATGTGAAATAAAGGAAATGGGAACACTTTGCACTTGGAAAAAAACTAATTGCTKTGAACAATTTTGTTTATTACCTGGTATTCGCAAGCCCTTACAGTCATAAAAGCTAGATCAAAAGCCTCTTCTATCGTCTCACCACACGCAACTATACCATGATTTCTTAAAACCATAACCTGAAAAAAGACATTATTCCTTTACATACATTGATCAATCATTAGCTATGTATCCCAAGAGTTCAGCTCTATCTGGGGGTGAAACATTGAATTTCTGACTCCCAATAGTAAAAGTCTTTTGTTTTGCCTCCCCATTGCTGCTTTGACGTCACATGGAAGGGATGTATGATTGCCCCTCTTTATTACCTTGCTTGATTCCCCAAGATCTCTAGCAATGGACTGCATTTCATCTTCATTTATAAGAATGCCTTGATAATCATGGTAGCTTATGGGTCCAAGCTGAACAATAAAATATAATCATATATAAATAAACCCTGTAAATATTATTTAAACTACAATGAATCAAACATAATATAAACATGGAATGTTATAAAATAAGCAGAAAAAAATGGAACAGTTTGTATTGAATAAAATATGATACATACTACACTTGCTTCAATGGAGATTGGAAGAAGACCAAATTCAGTAGTTGCAACCTGAGAGAAGAGAAGAAACACTCAGAAATGCTTATRTAAGGTTAAACATTGGAAACAATTCCTAACTGAGACCACCCTTAGAGATTGGCATGAAAAMCGTGACACTCTCAACTTGGTAAGTAAATTTTAAACTCAGCATTAAAAAATATTATTGCTCATTTGTGATACAAACACTTCTAACACTCAATGTTTACACAAATTTTAGGTACAGGAAGTAGTTGTTTGTGTTTGAAATTGAAAAAACTACAAAAATGAATATGCTAATACCAAGTTATCTTTTTAGTTAAATCTTGTCAATGAATAACAATTTAACAATAATAATATATTAATAACATATATATTAATAACATATTAATTGTTAGGTACCTTAATTTTTTAGGACTATTGTTTCGCTTATCTATTTCAAAGGATATCAGTGAACACATGTTCAGTGATGACAAATACATGGCTAAGAGCCAAATAAACCAAATAGATCAATGTACTCAGAAACAGTAAATAAAAACCACAATTAAAACATAATAATGTACACACTACTTTTCAAACTCTCTTCTTTCCAGTATTTTAGTAATTTTCAAGAGCAAAATATAAGCTTAACGTTTTGCTTTAGTTACAAAAAACAGCAAAATCTGTCTGATAGTTTCGAGTTAAGTGAAATGTTAGTGTCCAAGGAAGGATAATATTGTTTCCAAAGATGTTATCCTTCCATAGATTCTGTTTTATTTAACTTTATTATAAAAGAAAGGTCATGTTTCACACCTTTTAGGCATGACCTGTCAACACAACATTATCTGAGACCCACACATTCCTTTATTTAAATAGAATGTTAGTAATTAAAATACATATGTTGATCTAATGAASAATTTGTTTTTAAAAACTAGACATTGTTATCAAAAGAAGACCATGCGCCATTGTGACATTAAATTAGCGGTAAGATGGAGACAAGATGGTATGCAGATAGGTTCAATGTAAATAGATGGCCTTTTCTTTAGTAAATTATCTATGAATTAATTCATAAGCATCAACAGAAATATCTTTATCTTTGTTAGCAAAAAGAGAGAATTTTAGTTGAGAAAATTTCTTTATATTTTAA